ACTTTATAGTAAAACAATTCTGAATTTCCTACTGAGTGTGAATGTAACAGATGTGAAGATGTGTAACCATGACATTAGTTGTTCAACTTACAACTGTTGAACATTGTCAAGCATCCACAGATCCTCCTCTTGAACACTTGATATTTCATTATTGTGGAGAAATCTGCCAAGAAATGAATGTCAACAGTGTATTTTAAAGAAAGATTGACTCACATGTGACATACACTGTAAACAAAGAATATACACGTAAAGTCAGAGAGTAAATTAAATTAAAGTACGTGTACCGACAATCTCAGCAACTAAATTTCTATAATAACAGTGTACATACATATGTTTTGAAAATTACCACTTGGCAAGAAAATAAAAGTCTTACAATCGTTGCAAGGTAGTGATTCTTTCAAATGGTTTATGAACACTTTGCTGAGCGCTGAAAATTAAAAAGATACATATTAAACAGTAAGCAGTAATTATGTTTCAACAAGTAATACTGCTAAATGAGTGCACGGGAACCGTGCAACACACTTAATTAATGCTACTGAACAAAAGATTCTTGTAATAGCATAAGAGTGAGTTACTTACCACTAATTCCACCTAAAGAGGATATGAGCAGTTTACCGTACACTAAACAACTAAAAAGTGAACTGATCAACATGACCCACGCTCGTGTCATGTTGATCAGTTCCTCTTTCACATTTCGTTACCGAGCTTAAAATGCACCATCTTTGTTCACTTATCACTAAACAACTAGTGTGGAATCCATTATAACTTAATCCAATAATCCAAAAGAAATGTTAAAATATTAACAGTTTTAAAACTGATAAATAATATTTTAACAGTTGATAGTTTTCATTTGTTACTACATACTGAGGTTACTTCAAGTATTACATGTATCAAAAATATAAAATGACTTACGCGTGAAGATCTTCAAGTAAAGGTGAGAACTCTGAACTGGTGAAACTTGACAACGAAGTAATAGCATTATTTTCTAAATGCCTGAAAAAAGCAACAGATTGTCAGCATTAAAAATACAAATCTCATCACCTTGTAAGGTGTAAAGGACATAAAGTACTATACAGGATACACTGGATAAATTATACATACAAATATGTAAGTAGAAACAAAAGCACAGTGTTATTGTGATAGAGTGACAACAGTTAAGGGATTATTGTATTTTACATCACTATACGTTGCTTTACTCGCCAATTGCATGGTCCGGAGTATAATCTAAAAACGCAAAAATGTTTTAATTTCAATTAAATGCGACTTCCTGAAAATCGCAAATATCAATATCCTGCAAAAAAGAAAAAACAACAAAAAAAAAACAGTCCTTTACAATCGCAAAAGATTATTTCCCGTAAAATACAAAAAAAAAAATCGTGGATTCGCAAAAATAAACTCCCGCTAAAATTTGTTGCCACACGGTATATCAAAGAAGAGATATTAAGATCTGCATTTTGTCATTTTCATCAGATCCTTTCAGTGTCTGAAAGTCCCCTATCTATTCAGTGGGCAAAGCCGCATCCAATAGCCCAGGGCTAATGGATTTTGTAATCAGGCCAGTTGATTCCTTCACTCACTTGTCAGAGAGGTAAGCGAAGTTTCTTGAGAAAATATATCGAAGAAACTCAAATACGTGTACAGACTTTCTTACTAGTAAACATACAGTAGTTAGGGCAAGCACTCACAGGTATAAAAGAGATGGCAATGGTGAAGATGACTGTGATAAAGCTGGATGAGGAAAATTTGTCAACAGATTGTCATTCAACCATCTGAAAAAACAAAAACATTTAGAGAATACAATTGCAATTTAGAAACTTGTAGATAACACAAACACAGGTACATGTAGAATCAATATTGCCAGTTCAAAATATTGTAGATGACACATACAAACAGAATTGTACCACTGTTGTCCCCCTCTCTATAAATCGTCTCTCTATATCTACAATGGCCAGTTAATTTTGTTTGTTGGTGGAAAGAACATTCTACACAATTAAACTATTAATAGTGAAACCACCATGGCTGTATTCTTCGCGATGTTAATAAAACAGCAAGAATGGTTTTTTTCCCCTGCTGGTATACTTACAGATCTTCCAAAGCAGGCAGGTTTTTGAAGGCATTGTGCATCACATATGTTGTCTGGTAGGGACTTTGTTGTTGCATTAAAATCCTGAAAGAAAACATAGCAGAATTAATCCTGAACAACCCTACCAAGTGCTTGACTTTTTTTTCTGGTCTGCCAAACCCATAGGACAAGCAGCTCTCAAATTTTGCTTGACCTGGGCGAGTATTAGCTTACCTTTGTGTTGATTTAGTTGACAGTCAACTTGCCTACGCCCTCAGTGAGAGCAAGTGAGAATAAAACGTTATTTGCCCAGCAAGAAAATCTACTTGTCCCAGACAACTGGATGGCACCTTTTTTGAGCTACCATGAACTAACCACTGCACAGACAGAGATAACAAAATGACAAGTAAAATCATCTGAGGTGACTGATTTCACATATGACGGTTTTCTTGTCCTTCAATAGAGTACCATTAGACTCTCGTAATCCAACAATTGGAGAACAGTTTACAATTCATACTGTGGAAATAAACAACTGTAACAAAGATCCAAACAAGGAAGATATTAACATTAAAACTCCATCAGTCATGTTTTATTCTACTTACAACACTTTCAGCTTTGGAAGATTTTTAAATGGACTACTGAACGATTCTGCTGTAATGATTTGCAAATGGTTCCCTCGGAGATCCCTACAGAAATCAAGTTATACAGTCTAAAATTACAGACAAACTACTGCTGTTAAACACTGTAGGTGCAAACAATCCAAGGAACTCTGTAATGTAATTTAAGAAAATTCAGGACAACAAGGTTGTAATGCTGCACAATTTGACTGAGAATATCAATTTGGACTGTATAGGGAAGGGGAGTGCATGCTTTTATTTAGTTTCAGATCCATTTCGGATTGGCTTGGGTTCGTACAACTAAAGAAGGAAGTTGGTAACAGTTTCCAAAACTTTCAAGCACTTGGACTTTGATGGATGACTAGCACCACTTTTAATCAGTTGATGCTACAGCGACGGCATCAAACATGCCCCCAATCATTGGTGAAGAAGTTTAGTGATTTTCTTAACCTGCAATCATACTATTTCTTGGAGGATTTCCCAACAAAGGTTGTCTGGTCGCAAGTTATCATTTTCTGGGCATTATTAACAGCTTACCATAGCAACAGCATAATCTGTTAAAACACCCTTAAAATTGGCTTTAAGAGCTAATACCTCAAAAACATGCCTGGCGACACCCATTTTTATTTATTTGCAAATTTTGATTGATAGCATGCCAAATTGTTGAAAAGTTCTACTACAAGAGGAGTTCACAACCAATTGAACCCAGTCCAAAGAAACTTTCAAAAGTGTACTAAGAAGTGACAACAGAGAGATACACTTACAGATGTAACAGCTCTGGTATTTCATAAAACACATAAGCACCGATGGTTTTCAAATGATTCATGTGTAACTCACTGGATAAAGAAGAAGAAGAAAAAACATAAGTTAAAATTGCCTATTTTGTTAACAGTAAGTAAACAGGATTTCTTATCAGGGTGATAGACAACATTCGCTGCAACTCATAAAGAAATTCGCCATTAATTTCCAACAAATTGTAAGTTCATCGTAAATTTTTAGTTTTTACTTCCAGTTTCCATACACCACTTTTGTTCTTTGACAGAACACTCCAGTTAACTCGTCGACTACAAAAAATAATGAACACATTTGATGCAATATGATCATAACCAGGTCCGGAAGAAAAATCGCTCTGTGCCAATTTGCATGTTAAGCAACATAATTGGCTTCATCAATATTATGCGTAAGGTATCAGTATACCCCAAATAACCATAATTTGTTCGCGCTGCTTTACGGTCGGACGTTTCACGCAAGCCCAACTAAAGTATATACTTTCTGAAAGCTTAAGTGTAGAGTACGAGGGTATATTCATTAAAATTAAAAAAGTTAAGGTTTTCCGAATATAGCGCCCTATTTCGCAAAGTACAGAGGTTCACTAATCAAGTTCGTTTCCGGTCGGATTTGAGCGGGACGACGTGATCAACATCGCTGTCTTCTTGACACCTTTCTCCAAAAATGCCTCCTCCAAAAAACCATGTCAGGGAATTTTGATTACTTGTCTGGTTTGTCTTTGACACGCAGTTAAACTTTGAGTTTTGATAAAACACGTATTCTTTTCCCGAAACGGGGTTTTTTCCTGATTATCCGCCAACATTCTCTCCAAATTTCAGCGAAAAACGTTGAAAACTCGTCGGAAACGAACTCAAGCTGTGCGCTCCACTCACTGAAATTTTACGTTTTGAGATAAGAAGGAGAATATACTTTGGGGCGTTCTTCCGCGTTCTTTTCGCTTCTGTTTCTTCTTCGTCCAGTGCAAGTAACTTCTCCTGCTCGAAGCAGGAACCTAACGCATCAGCCCAATTTTGAACCCTTTTCCCCCGACTTTTTCCTCTGTGGTGCTTTCTTTGAACTTGCAAATGGACACGAACTTTGGCGTTTCTTCGACGACATATTTAAGCTTAAAGCAACAATCTACAAATGGAGAACACCCAGACCAGCTCGTCCATACCAAACACAAACGTTTGGTAATCGTTCAAATGGGGCAATTTGTCTTTCAGCTTTTACTGCTTCTCTACTAATTCTCATGACAACCCGTTGACAGCTATCAATTAGAGATAATTAATGCAAAGGAACGTTTAGCGTATGTAACTTTGCATACAATCAATCTTTTTTCGTAGAATTGTTTTTAAATGAAGATCGTAATAAGATCTATTTTAAAAAGCGAAAAACAATTTCTTTAAAAAATGGTCAATTTTGGGGTATACAGATACTTAAGACAGATTCCGCTGAAAGTTAGAGCAATAAGTGCAAAAATTATTTACTAAAAATCTACTCATAGCAAGGTAACGTTTGGAATAATGTCTAAAACAACTCACTTTTAATAGTTCATTTCTCTAAGTGACCCCGCGATTAAATACTCAAGCATTCTCGAGATAGTTAATGTCAAACCTCCTAAGAATGTTTAAAGCGTGTGCTGTTGTGTTTTTACCTACAGTGAAACGTCTGTTTTAAGTGAAATATTGATAACTTCAAGTTCAATTTTCTCTCGCGGGGTCAGCTTGACATCTCAAGTCTCGATACGTTTTTCTTAACTGTATTCAAAACAATACCATTCCATGAGGTTTTTTGGTAACTTAATTTTTGACATCATTGCTCGAATGTTCTGCTGAAATCATCTTAATGTAAGTACCACCATGTTAAACTGACTAAATTTGTATCATTACTTCATTAGTGGCTAATCTTGAAAATTGATGACTCTAAATTCCAGATAAATGAGAGATCAAAAAACAGGTCAAAAAACAAGATCGATATGACGAATCCGTTACCTGGCAATACAGGCAACGGAAAATTTTTAAGAGTGATGGATACGAATATTGATGACCCATTGGTCAGGAATTTGTTATTGACACTTGGAAACCATGGTAAGTAGCTAAGAAGTGGAGGTGTGCATTAAGTAACAAAAAAGAGCATGAAAAGTAATTACACTGAATAAAAAACAAATTGTTTTGCTGCTATACTTACAGAACTTGAAGATGGATTAAGTTGGAGAATGCTCCAGTAGAAATAGTTGAGATTTCGTTGTTGCTTACATTCCTAAAAATGTATACTTGAAGTTAGAAGTTTTACAAAATATAAATAAATAAATTTCACGTATAAGAGGACAATGCCTTAGTTAGGAATCTTTTGCATGTATACCGGCACTTTAAAATGCAATTTGTACTGTTGTTGATGACAATGATGATGATGAGGATGTTGTTGTTGATGATGATGATGATGATAATGATGATGACGACAATGACATCTAAGATGAATAATGATAAAGATGATGATAAAGCATTAATCAGCAATGCCATAGTTTATGAATATCACTGTTCACTCAGGTTTAGGAAATAAACCCTTGAGTTATTCAAATTGATTCTCAGTCTACTCTGTAGTTGCTTTATACAGCTGCACCTGTACTTAGTAAACCTCTGAACAAGAAAAAATAAAACTCACAAGTGAACAAGCTGCGAGTCTTTTCCAAAGAAAGGTCGCATGTTAGGAACAGTGAGGCTGACAATCTCATTCTGATCCACAGACCTACCAACCACAAGCAAGAAAACTTTTTATGAGTTATCATTACTTGTTATCTCGTTAGATTGTTTCTTACAACAACAGCTAGAAATGGTCAAGTTCCACCAAAGACTTTTTTATATCACTAGTTTTTTCTAATTGTGGTCTCAGGTTTTTTTAAGAGTTTTACTCTTCAAAGCCAACTGCTTTTTGAAGGAGTTTAAAAGTGCAAGGACTCTAGAGATGGTCTGTGGGTTATTAGGTGGAGTTGAAGGTGATGTAGCTTCGTCATCTCTAGATGCTGTAGAGATAACGTAGATACATGTATTTAACACATATGAATCATTGGCACAACATTCACCTATGGCAAGCTAAAAGCTTAATTGTCATCTTTTAGAACTAGCTGTATTTAATATTTTACTTTCAA